CAGAGACTAGAAACGCAGAAAGGAGGTTAAAACCGAGCTACACTATGGCTTTTCTTCCCGTTGAAGGACCGGATCAACCAGAATTCTAGAAACGGATACTCCGTCACTAGCAGAAAACTCATTAGGGAGCGTTTTCCACTAAGGCACAGGGCTGGTTACGGCAGTTTCGAGCGCAGCGTCGACCTACGCGTGCAAGCCACGGCGAAGTTCCGAGAGCACGAGTCTACCTGCAGCCAGGCGTGTGGTCGGGTGACCCGAGGAGCCCCGATCTACCTGTTCACGAAAAGCCTCCAGAATAATAAAAAAAAAAAAGCAAACTAAACATCAAAATCAACAACACGAAGGCAGAAAGTATTCAGCATTAAAAAATAATGTACACATATATTTATATTGCATGGCATTAAAGATACTCAACACATATTGTTAGAAAGATGTATGCGAAGAAAATGAAGTAACATTTTTAAATATTTGTTTCTCTACAGGTGCAACGCATTACAGCGGGGACTCTTGCTCGTGGCTGAGGAATGAAAGATGCTAACAGACAGGGAGGAAGGAAGAGGAGACGGACATGAACACCGTAGCAGAATTCACATGCTCATTCACATTGTTGAAACACAGATGGACACCGGAGAAAATCCAGTCGGAAATGTGGAAGACATACCCGAGAACCCCAGGGATAAAAGGAGAAGGGAGAGCGAATTAAAAACGATCCAACAATGCACCAGAGGTGTGAGAACTCGTAGCTCCAACACACCAGAGGTCCACGTTCCTAGAGACAAGACAAGGATACATGGGGAAGAGGAACAGATAAGGCAGAGGTAACAGAGGACAAAATCGAGCCAAAGTCCAAGTTTCTTTTTTGCACGTGGAGAGAAATCACGCAATCCCAAGCACAGTGAGCCGCACGGAGGTTGGTTATTAAATATCGGTGGGTGTTTTACAACGGAAGGATATTGTTAAGGTTAACTACAAAGAAGAAAGCACGGAACGGGGCAGAAGTGGAGGAGGGGGGCCAGGCCGGAGAGCATAAGGCACCAGGAGAAAAGGGATCGTACAAAGGGAGAAGGGGGAGGGGGAGGAGGAGGAGAAAGATGAGATGGGAGACAAGAGCCAACTGGAAAATGAGGGGAGGGAGACATGGAGGAGGAGGGAGGAGGAGTGAGGAGGAGGGATGAGGAGGGCGGTGGGCACCCCCAAGCTTCTCTGCAGAGCGCCATACAAGAAGGGGAATGGGACAAGTCCCACAGACTGCTAAGGGGGAAATTCTGACACAGAGATATTACACCCAGATAAACCTCATTCATGCAGCATAAAATCATCCTCAGATTCGTCGTCTCGGAAAGTGAATCACGCTTGCTCAAAGGGCTACTCTAGCTGAAACAAAATTCAGCAAAATAAAGACATAAATAATGGCTAAATCATGGAATAAAGAGACAGCCCACAAGCACTGAAACCACTAGAAGACAGAATTCAGTCCAAACAACGACAACAGATAAGGATGGGATAAAACAGAAGAATAAAAATGCCAAATAAAGATCTTAGAGAAACCATAAAAAGGTTTTGGAAAATAAGAAGAAAGGACCATAGTAAACTGGGTCTAAGATCTTAGAATCTATCAACAAAAAATGATTAAGTGGCCCAGCCCGTGTGGCTCAGTGGACTGAGCGTCGTCCCGTGGACTCAGAGGGAGGTCTCCGTTCGATTCCAGGTCAGGGCACACGCCGGGGTTGCAGGCTCAACCCCCAGTAGGGGGCGTGCAGGAGGCGGCCGATCCATGGTTCCCTCTCACATTAATGTTTCTCTCTCTTTCCCCTTCTTCTCTTTTTAAAAAATCCATAAAAACTTTTTTTTAAAAAAAAAATGATGAAGTGTAAAGAGAAAAGGAAATAAAGGTATCTTAGTATCATCTTACACAGGAAGAAATAAAACCATAGGTCTCACTCTTGATTTGAAAGGAAAATAGTGTACAGTGTTACCTACACATCAAAACCAACCAAAAACAGCAAAAAATAAATAAATATATATATATATGAACCAATATTTCTGACGAATTTAAATGCAAAAATCCTCACCCAGAATATCAGCAAAATCCAACACTATATGAAAGAATTCTAAGTCATGACCAAGTGAGATTCATTCAAGGTATACAATATTTGAAAAGCAATCAATGTGATCTAGTGTCTTTAGAAACTAAAGAAGAAAAAGCACACGATCATGTCAAGCAATGTCAAAAAATCATTTGACAAAATTCAATATTCATTTCTAATGAATAGTCTCATCAAATTATAACCTATTGGTTTGATGCAATTAAACCAGCTGTAATTAATGCAATTCCCATGAAAACCACAGGGAAGTGTTCTGTAGACATAGACAAGCTTATTGTGAAATGCGTATGGACAGGTGCAGGCCCTAGAACAGTCAAAACAAGCTGACAAAGAACAAGAAGGGAGGAGCCACTCTGCCTGATACCGAGGCCGACCCTGGGCAGCAGTGATTAGGACAGTGGTCCGGGCAAAGGGATGGGCACAGAGATCAATGGAAGTAAACGGAGAATTCAGAAGTAGACACACACAAACATGCTCAACGGACGTCTAACAAATTATTAAATAAAGGCAGGGCGGTCCAGCCGCTGTGGCTCAGCCTTTTTTATAAATGGTGCCAGACCCAGAGAAAAAATAAAGGATTACACAGAACTCAGCCTAGACCTTACACATAAATTAACTGAAAATCCATTGTAGATGGAAATGGAGAACTTCGACTTGTAGGGAAAAGGACTCACACAGGAGCTGGCCTCCAGGGTCCAGGGCTAGGCAAGGGTTCTGCCCGACACCACAGCAGGACCCGCAAAGAATACATTTGTAAATTGGACCTCAAAGAAATGAAAACCTTTTCTCTGTGGAAGGCCGTGTTAAGGGGTTGAAAGACAAACCACAGAGTGGTGGGATATATCTGCAAACCATCTACCTGGCAAAGAACTCGTGTTTGAAATACATAAAGAATTTTCGAAACTCAACAGTAATAATCAAGCCGTCCAGTCAAAAACGGGCAATATGCCTAAGGAGATACTTCACCAAAGGTGACTAACAGAGAGCACGGAGCACCTGGAAAGGTGCTCAACATCATCAGTCATCAGGGAAATGCCTTTAAAACCACGTGGTATCACTCCATGCCCACCAGAATAGCAAAAGGAACATAATGACGAATCTGAGTGCGGGCAGAGACGCACAGAAACTGCTCGGTGAAGCAAAGTGACCCAACCACTCCGGGAAGCAGGCGGCTTCTCATCACACTCAGCACGCAATTACCACGCAGACCAGCAGCTGCCCTCTTGGGCACACCCAAGGACAAATGTCCACAGTGGCTTTATTCACAATTGCTGGAAATGGACAACAACCCAGATGTCCTTCCATGGGTGAACCATGAAAGAAAACGGTACATCGGACGCTACTGAGAAGCAAAACGCACTCAACTATTATTATACACAGACAATAATGCCGATGAAAAAGCCCACCCCGAAAGGTATGGTTTCATTTATGTAGCGTATTTGACATGACAGACTTAGAAATGAAGAGTACATTTCAGTTTCCAGGGACTCAGAACAGGACTGGAGAAGCAGGAAGGAGGGCGTGGCTGTAAAATGATGATACAAAGTATCCTCATAGAGATACAGCTGTTTAGATCTTTACTGTGATGGTGGCTACACAAATCTACACGTGACAAGATTGTACAGAACCAAATGTGAGCACACACACGCGGGCACACACATGCACATAGAAATGAGTACAAGAGGAGACATACAAACAGAATCAGTCAATTGAATCATGTCAATAAAATGTTACCTTGGAAGAAAACTGGTTCAAGGGTATTACGAGATTTCTCTGCATCATCCCTACACCCACATATGAATCTGCAATCATCTCAAGGAGAATGTCAGTTTGCAAAAACCTAGGTCATATCATACTGAACTTTGAATCCTACTCAAGGAGTCTGAACTCTTAGAACTAGGCAGTTGGATAAACAGTGACAGAGGAGACTTGTCTTTTGGTGGTGAGCACACAACACACATACAGATGATGTATTACAGAATTGTACACCTGGGATACAGAACCTTATTAACTAATGTCAACCCAACAAATTCAATACAACTGTTTTAAAATTGGCAGCTGGGAGCCACAGAAGCTGGTGCAGGATGAGTCACTTGATCATGCTGTGGACCCAAAGAATCCAAATGATGATAGTGAGTAAGACAGATTCAAGCAGAAACAGAGAAAACTCTAATCGGGGATCAAGTACGAGGTGCTACTGAAACAGATACTGTGCCCACGCAGGTGTGGGCTACACCTGTGTCCCTGGTCCCTTCAGCGACCACATGTCCAACATGCATTCACCTTGTCCAAGTTCTCTGGTAACTGACAACCTGGGAATCTGCTCCTCACAAAGGCATTTCCGGTTTATTTCATCATGTTCAAGTCATTCTTTTACGCCATAGCTTTAGCATCTTGATAAAATGAAGAAACATTTCTAGTCCCTGGTTTCAATATTTTTATAATTCTATAAATATAAGTTAAATAAGTTCTCTAATCACTGAGATAATTAGCATGTCCTTAAAATAATTTTAAGGTATTTGAAGTTTTGAAAACTATATTAGATGTGCGGTTTTCATTATTTTTAATTGAATGTTTGGAAAATTCTGATTAAATGGGTTTGTAATCAATGTTTCAATGTCTGAGAAAATCTTAATTTGTTAATTTTTAATGTTTTGATTTATTAGTCTAAGAAGCATTTACATGTTCGGAAAAATAGTATTTAATGAATTTATACATTTATTTAATTGTGCGTGAAATAAAACACGGCAGGAGGGAAGCTCGTCATGCGGTAGCGAGCACCATCACGGACTTGGTTCCGGGAGCAGGTCTCTGCCTCTGGGCCGCCGGGACCCCAGGCGTGTCTGCGTCTCTCCGGGCGGAGCGGCCCCGCCCCGGAAGGAGGAGCCGTCTTACCTTATGGGGTTGTCCATCCTGGACACAGTGAGGAAGGCAGCCAGGTTGGCCGTGTAGGAGGAGCACACGATGAGGGTGAACAGCCACCAGCTCCCCATCACGATCCGCATGGCCACAGAGTTCACGGAGGACTCCCCACCTGTGGGGGGCAGGCAGAGCAGGTTGGCAGGCTGGCCCCCGCTCCCCTCCCGCCCCCCCACGGAGCCCCTGGGCATAGGGAGCAGCCACAGCTGACGGGCTGGGAGCAGCGGGGTGACGCCAGCTTATCGGGGGGCCAGGACAATTCCGGTAAAGAACCCCAAGACCGCCAATCTCGGAAAGGGTTAAAGGACCACAAAATACGGAACAGCCAGGACTGGCCTTCTACGGAGGTGGTCTTTGTCCACCCCAGGGGTCAAGTCCAGCGAGAAGAGTCTGCCTGGTCCCTTCCTACTGTGTCGCAGGAGCAGCCTCGGGAGTTCTGCACACAGGGAACTGTCTCCAGCTGGAGGGTCCCCAGCGCTCTTTAAACCTCGGGGATGGGCTGTACCGTGTCACTGTTCTTAATATTCAGCCCGTACTAGGTGGTTTCTCTGCCCTGGGACTTCCAGGAACTATTGTGGGGCACTTTCCGTCAGAAGCTGCCTCCAAGGCCCACTTTCTTCTCCTCGGTCCCTACGTGGCAGCAGGAAAAACCTTCTCCCTGACTGTTCTTATATAACCTCACGGACAGGCGATGCCCGAGTGCCACGTGCCAACCGGCCAGCAGCGCAGCAGGAGCCCCATCGGCTGTTTCTGCTCGAAACCGCACCGTCCGGCGGCCCTGCAGGCGCCACGCAGACCCCTCCGGGCTGGGAGACTATGTCCAGGACGGCCGGAGTCCTGCTTAAATGCCCGTAAACACAGTTGTCACGCTTCTCCCGAAAACTTCGGATTTAAGCAGGAGCCCGCTCCGTTCCGCAAGCCCACGAGCACGACCGTCTTTCTGACGCGGGAGGGGGGCCGGGCCCAGCGGACTCCCACGTCAATGTCATCTAAAGTGGAGAGTCGGGGTTGGAAATCGAGTCCCTCATGATCATTTCATTTCATTTCTATTTGATGTGACATGGAGAAATCGGGTGCAACATAGTATCAGTCCTGACCCGGAGATTAAATAAAACTGCATTTAAAGTGACTTTGGCAACACGCTTCCGAGAACGGCGCCAACGGATCAATTCCCCGGGCTTCCGGGGCCTTGCAGCCCGGGGAGCCGGGCGGGTACCTTGCTGCATGAAGGCTCCGTAGACGATCCAGATAGCACTGTGCAGGGTGGCAGACGCCGACGGCCGGGGCTGGGCCCCGGTCTGAGCCCTCACAGCCTGTATCCGGTTCAGCACGAATATCAGCACCCCAACCACGGGGATGGCGGCCGCGATGCAGGCCCAGACGGCGAAGTCGAACGGAGCAAAGAGAGAGAAGACGCTGATTTTCTCCTCGGGCTTCCTGACCAGGATCCCCACCGAGTAGTCCATGTAGCGCTTGCTGAAGTCCACCACGCTCTCCCGCTCGGGCGTGATGGTGATGGCCGAGACGGCCAGGTCCGCGCGCTGCGGGGCAAAGGTCGCGTCAGGTCCCGCCCGCAGCAAGGTCGCCCTCCACTCTGAGTCCCACACGGGGCTGTGGGGCTGACGCCCCGCGACCTCGACTATTTTAAGGCAAACCCAGCACTGAGCTGACTGTTATTACCTCCTTTACCTTGCACACTTCTCGCCCCAAACCTAACAACTCCCGGGACGTGCTTCTGGAGAAGAGTTAACGAAGCATCTCTTCCTTACTGTCCCCCCACAAACATCAGCTGTGTCCTTCCTTGTGCTGGTGCTCCCTCTGACCACCGCCACGCACACCAAGACGCCCCCTGTCTCCTTCCAGGCCTGGCTGCACCCTCCCTACACGCAAAGCCACAGGCCCCACCAGCCTCTCTGAGCCCCGCGAGCTCACACTGGTGTCTTTCTTTCCCAAAACACTTTAGAAGCTGCATGGTGGGTTCCGCAACGACCTTGAATCGCATTGCTGTCTCAGTGCCTGCCTGTCTTTTTTTTTTTCATCCTCACCCGAGGACACTTTTGCATTTATCTTCAGATAGAGGGGGAGGGAGAGAGGGAGAGAAACATCGATGTGAGAGACACATCAAGTGGTTGCCACTCACATGACCCCAACTGGGACCAGGGACAAACTGCAACTGAGGTAGGTGCCCTGAGCGGAACCGAACCCGGGTCTCTCTGGTCCGCAGGCTGATGCTCTAACCGCTGAGCACACCGGCCAGAGCCGTCTCTGCCTATCTTATGCACAGACAGTAACACCCAAGAACACCCATCTCTCGTCCCTCCACCTCCTCCGGCTGGGGTGGGGTGGGGAGGAGGGTGTCAATGGGGGAAAAAGGGGAAACATCTATAACAACATTAAATTAATAAAAACATAAACTAGGACGACAGAAGCCTGGGGGACATGAGAGCCATGGGCCTCGGCTCGGCCTCTGTGGGTTATAAAGCAAAGGAGCTGCTTTAGGAGCAAAAGCCCGGCAGACGGAGGACGGCAGGTCGCAGTCAGGAGACGGGGCAGCGACGCGCACGGAAGCCGGCGGCAGGGCACAGGAACGCGGGCGCCGCGGTGAGGGCCGAGCACGGGCACTGCAGGGGAGGCGGCCCAGCACAGAGACCCAGAGCCGCCCACAGGCCCGGCGGAGACAACACGGGTCGGCGGTGACAGCGTGGAGGGGCTGCGTCAGACATCAGCGTCATAACGGGTGGTGCGGAACGGCCCAGAGCTGGGGCGTGATGGGGCGGCATGGGACATGGTGACGGCTGCTGCCCGAGCCTCGCTCAGGGGCTGCAGCAGCAGGAGGGGCAACGACTAATTCAGGGTGTGGAGCCCAGGGACGCCTGCCACCTGCAGGGAGCAATGCCACACACACCTGATGGCCAGGGCAGAACGGGCAGGCACCGTGCCCGGGGGCGAGGTTCCCCTTTCAGCCCAGATGTGGGGGTGGGTTTCCCAGGGAGTGCCATGGAGCAGGCACAGGACACCGGCCCCACAGGAAGGAGGGGTGTGCACAGGAGGGACCCACACGCTGCAGGGAAAACAGAAACGGGTGCAGTGGGAGAAAGATGCTGAGAGAATGAGGGCTTCCGTGAGCAGTGGTCGCTGTGGTCAGCTGAGCTGGTCCCACCTTCCGGCCGCTCAGTGGACCTCATCTGGACACCCCAGAGGCAGACAGGGCGCCCGCCCCACGGGCCCGCCTTGGGGCCTACCTTGCTGATGAGCTCCCCGATCATCCCGTTCCAGGAGGTGTTGCGGAGCTGGTGGCCGTACCTGCCGTCGGGGGCCTGGTAGATCTCATACTTGAAGCCCAGCGCCTTGGCCAGGGCGTCCAGGACGTCGATGGAGAAGCCTTTGTAGCGCTTGGGCTGCCCGAGGATGTTCTCAGCCACCATCACGAAAGGCTCTTCCTGGCGACAAGAGAAGGAATGTCTTTCATTAAATACCAGGTGCGCTGAGACACATCTTGCCCGGGCGTGGGGGACACCTCCGGGGCAGAGTGCAGCTAGAGGGTGCTCAGACGCCTGCCTGCATTTACCCGCGTGAGGCCGGGGGTCCGACCTCTGCCTATTTCCAGAGTGTGCTCGGACGCCCAGGGCCCAGTGCCCGGGGTGCCCTCCTCAGTTACGTCCCCCCAGGCTCCACCCAGAGCCCCAGGCCAGGCAACACGGCTTGTCCTCATCCCTTCACGTGCGACATGCAGAACTCTCTCCTTAGGAGCCGCCACGATCCTTCAGGACCCGTATGAGGAGCATGGGTCCTGCTCATTCAGGAGAATACACGGCAGTAAGGTCCGGGGTAGGAGACTGAGGGAGGACAGGATGGCACACGTCGGGCTGAGCTGGGAAACGGGTGCTGGCCAATGGGCCACGACCGCATCACAGGCGGAGGACAGGACACGGCTGCAGCCCAGGGTCACAGGCACACGTGGGTGTCAGCAAACACCCGTCTTCCCCCACCCGCCTGCGAAGCTGAGCCTTGGGGGGAACAGGACTGTCCCTGAGTGAATGCCCTGAGGGAACAGAGTGCGGTGCCTCTCCGAGCCGGGCACACCGGGCGCCCGAACGGCTGGCCAGGGCGGGCAGAGCCGGGCCAGCGCTGGGACAGGGCAGCAGCTGGGCCACGTCGCCCCTGTGGACGGAGGTCAGGCTAAGGCGGCCCCAGCAGCGCTCAAAGGTTAAGAGGAAGGAAGGGAAGGGAGATGCGTTATGGTCTCTGAAAGATGCAAATGTCCATGATTCTGGGGAAAGTCATGAAGAAAAATGGCGACAGTGTCTTCATTAGGAGCTTTGTGTTGGCTGCTGAGAAAATGTCCCCCTCCCAGCATCTTTCTGGGGCCTCTGGCTGCTGGCAAAGCCTTCCTGAGGACAGCACTAGGTCAAGGACCTGTGACATCCAAGAACAGGCAGAGCCCAGCTGGTGTGGCTCAGGGGTTGAGTGTCGACCCTGCACCAAGAGGTCACAGGTTCGATTCCCGGTCAGGACACATGCCCAGGTTGTGGGCCCGTCCCCAGTGGGGAGCGTGCAGGAGGCGGCCAGTCGATGTTCTCTCTCATCGATGTTTCTCTCTCTCTCCCTCCCCCTTCCTCTCTCTCTAAAATCAATAAAGAAAAATAAAATAAAACAAAGTAACAGGCAGAGCAGCTGAGCCTGCTCCAAGCTCTGCTGCAGGTCAACCTAGCAGGTCAGCCTAGTGGGTCACCTAGCGGGTCACCTAGCTGGTCAACCTAGTGGGTTACCTAGTGGGTCAGCCTAGCGGGTCAGCCTAGCGGGTCACCTAGAGGGTCACCTAGAGGGTCACTTAGCGGGTCACCTAGAGGGTCAGCCTAGAGGGTCAACCTAGCGGGTCACCTAGAGGGTCACTTAGCGGGTCACCTAGAGGGTCAGCCTAGAGGGTCAACCTAGCAGGTCACCTAGAGGGTCACTTAGCGGGTCACCTAGAGGGTCAGCCTAGAGGGACAGCCTAGCGGGTCACCTAGAGGGTCAGCCTCGCGGGTCAGCCTAGCGGGTCACCTAGAGGGTCAGCCTCGCGGGTCAGCCTAGCGGGTCAGCCTAGAGGGTCAGCCTAGAGGGTCAGCCTAGCGGGTCACCTAGCGGGTCACCTAGCGGGTCAGCCTAGAGGGTCAGCCTAGCGGGTCACCTAGAGGGTCAGCCTAGAGGGTCAGCCTAGAGGGTCACTTAGCGGGTCACCTAGAGGGTCACCTAGAGGGTCAACCTAGAGGGTCAACCTAGCGGGTTACCTAGAGGGTCAGCCTAGAGGGTCAACCTAGCAGGTCACCTAGAGGGTCACTTAGCGGGTCACCTAGAGGGTCAGCCTAGAGGGACAGCCTAGCGGGTCAGCCTAGAGGGTCAGCCTAGCGGGTCACCTAGCGGGTCACCTAGCGGGTCAGCCTAGCGGGTCAGCCTAGAGGGTCAGCCTAGCGGGTCACCTAGCGGGTCAGCCTAGAGGGTCAGCCTAGAGGGTCACCTAGCGGGTCACCTAGCGGGTCACTTAGCGGGTCACCTAGAGGGTCAGCCTAGAGGGTCAACCTAGCGGGTTACCTAGAGGGTCAGCCTCGCGGGTCAGCCTAGTGGGTCACCTAGAGGGTCAGCCTAGTGGGTCAGCCTAGCGGGTCACCTAGAGGGTCAGCCTCGCGGCCCAGCCCCGGACCCGCCCAGGCCCCCCAGGGAAGGCCCCCGAGGCAGAAGCTCCAGCTGCTCTTTCGTTGTTCACCAAACCACTCGGGTGAAAGGCCTCATGAGAGCCCGGGCCGCCCCCGCAGACCCCTCTCTGCAAACCCGGCACGAGATCAGACAGAAGCCTGCGCCTCGAGAGCCTGAGGAAGGGCCTCCCCACGAGGCCCGTGATCCTACCAAGACTGTCACCACCTTGAGCGTGAGTCCGTGAAGGCGGCTGCCCATGGGCCGCTCCTGCAGGCTGCCGTTCAGGCCCTTCTCCGAGTCCCAGGTCGCCAGCTGCAAAGGACAGAGCGAGGGTGAGGGCAGGGTGAGGCCTGTGCCCACCTGGGCACCGCTGTGTGGCCAGGACCCTGACCAAGCCTCCCGGAGGCCCAGACAAAGCCCAGGGAACCAGCGGCAGACAGACAGACAGACAGACAGCCCCGGGCCCCGCGCCCCTCTGGACCTCGAGGGCTTGCGCGCTCTTGGAGAAACCAAGGGGTCGACACTTGTTCCTGGAGTGGGCGTCTGTCCACTCACTGACACGGGTCCCGGTGTCTCCCAGGGTGTCCTCTTTCCGTAAGTGCGCCCTTGACGCTCCCAGGCCAGAGGGCCCGAGCCCAGCCGCGGCCACCCCGGCCAGCGCAGAAGGACACTTGGCGGCAAAGCAGGTGACAGGTACCGGAGCCCCAGGGGCACAGGGAGCCCCAGGCGCCGGCTGCCAGCGGTCAGAGCTCACCGCCCGTCCTACTGAAGGGCACACAGCATTTCCCTGACGTGCCACCGGGGCCAGGAACCTGTGCCCTGGGTCTGCCGTCCCCCTGAGCCCGCGGGGCGTACCCGAGAGCCCGGCGTGTCCCTGACAGGTGCACTCAGGCGCTTGCGGAGACCCCACCCGGCTCAGAAGCAACAGAAACAGGTATTCTTGGGAGTGCCCCCCCGCGCACCCCTGGAGGGCCTGGGCGGCAATGCTGAACCCTAGTCTCATCCATGATTCTCAGTTGTGTGTGTTTTTAAACTCGTCTTTATCGCAGACAGTATGACAGATGCCCCTCTTTTTCCCCACTGACACCCCCCAGCCCTCGCTACACGGCTGTCTGTGTGCAGTGGTCATGCACACACGCATGTAAGCTCCTTGGTTACCTCCTCCCGCCCGCCCCACCCCCTTCCCTTGAGGTTCGTCAGTCTGAACCATAATCCTTTCTGTGTCTCTGGGTCTGTTTTGGTCGTCAGCTTCTCTTGTTCCTTATATTCCACAGATAAGTGAGACCATGTGGTCAGCTGCACCTCCCGGGTTGGGCGGTGTTACACGGGCCCCTTGACCACCTCAGTGACTCCCAGGGTCACAGTGGAGGCACTCTGGATGGTGCACCTGTTTCAGGGACGGGGCGGTCTGCCCTGCACCGGGACTGGACTTCCCACAGCTGCTGCTGGACCTGTCTGGCACGGGCGAAGGGATGTCTCCTCGGTGACGGCCTGGCTTGGACCAGTGCCTGCCGTGGGCGCTGTGTGCCCTTGACCAGCCAGACGCCACCTGTCCCTCCTCTGGGACTGGGACTGGTCATGAACACGGAGAACGGAGGCTGGGAGAGCAGCTGGGACGAAAGCCGGTCCCAGCCTGTCCACGCTCTGCGCCCAGCCCACCGGCCGGCTCGGGGCAGAAGCCCCGGCCCCATCGACCTCAGCACCCACTCCCGCTCTTGTCCAGAGTGCCGACGGGCGCCTGGCAAGGGACACACCCCAGCACAAACTGTGCCCATCGAGCCTTTCCCAGCGACTTCCCATTTTCTACAGGACAGATCCTGCCGCGTCCGCCTTGGCCGCAAAGCAAGGCCTCCCTGCTCAGACTGAGCCGCGACCTCCCCAGGGCCACCGTGCACCCCAGGACCCAACAGTTCTCACACCCACCGCATTCCCCTGAGTCTCTGCGATCTAACGCCCAGGGCACATGGGGCCACCGACCGGCACACGGGGGGAGGGAGGGACTGCAAGGTGCCAGGGACAGTCTTGAGTTTTCCTTTTTATTCAATGTATTGGGGTGATGCTGGTTAACAAAATTACGCGGGTTTCAGGTGCTCGATTCCACAACACGGCGTCCGTGCGCTGTACTGTGGGTTCACCACCCCGTCGGGTCCCCGTCCGTCACCATCCATCCTCCTTCACCCCCAGCTCCCCCACACTGCTGCCCTGTTCTCTCACGTGGGCGACACGAGGGGGCCCTTCTAATTCTGCTTAATCATGGAAGTCAGGAGGGGCTGTTTCTCTCCCTGCGACACACCAAAGGTCAGCTAGGCTAAAGGCTATGGGAAGCCCCCGCAAGGACAGACAGGACACAAGAAACGTTCGTTTCTGCCAGAGCACGGGACAAAGGAGGAGTCCTGACAAGAGTGGGTAAGGAGAGAAAATTAGATTTTACCAAATTCTGTAAAGGCCAAGTGTGGACCAGCAAGAGAGCGAGGGTCCCGGGCACCTGGACACAGGGAGCCGCCCACTCATTGGCTCTTTCCATGATGCCACCCCCAGGCGGAGGGGGGAGCACCCAGAAGTCGGGGGCCCTGACAGAGACACACGTACCCAACAGAAGGCTTGCGTTCAGTATATGTGAAGACTCTTATAACCCAATTATAACAAGACAATCTAGCCCGGCCGGTGTGGCTCAGTGGTTGAGTGTTGACCCTGCACCAAGAGGTCGCCGGTTCGATGCCCGGTCAGGGCACATGCCCAGGTTGTGGACCCATCCCCAGTGGGGGGCATGCAGGAGACAGCCAGTCGATGTTCTCGCTCATCGATGTTTCTATCTCTCCCTCCCTCTCCCTCCCTCTCTCTCTCAAATCAATAAAGAGAAAAAAAAAAAAAGACAGCCCAATTTTTAAAAATAGAGATAAGACATTTTTTTAAGATAATGGGTAAGTAACTGCAGTCTCACCTCCTCCCACAACCACATCAAACCTACCACTAAACTCCAGCACAGCCATCCTTCAGAGCCGCCTGACCCCGAGCTGAATGGAAGTCCTACAACTGCGACATTAAAGAAGGAGCCACATGGAGACTGGTAGGAGGGCGGAGGCAGATGGGCTGGTCCCACACCCACGTGTGGCAGGTAAAAATCAGGAGGACACCTCAGCTGGGAAGGTCCTTCCTGAGGACTGAGGGGTCCCCGTCCCACACCAGGTGCCTCGCTCAGGGTCCCAGTGCCAGGAAGAGAATCCCCGTAACTTCTGGCTGGAAAACCAGCGGGAACTGAGGCTCAGGGAGGCTGAGGCGGCTGGAGCCCCAGGCAGCTCCCTAAAGGGCCCGCGCACGGACTTACCAGACTCTCTCCCTCTAAGCTTGGAGGGGAGGCAGCTCGAGGGGCGCCAGAGACGTACAGGGAAGAACTGAGCTGTTTGGCACTGGAGCGAGGGCTGGAGAGGGGGCTTTCTCCGAGACAGACTTGTTCTCAGAGGCCTTTGTTCCTTTGGTGAGCCCTTCCCTGGGGCGGCAGACAGCCGCCATATCTGGGACTCCAGCAACCTGGCTCACACTGGTAGCCCCGCCCTGGTGATTCCCTGAGGCCCTGCCCCACCCAAATTTCAGGCCCACCCAAGCTGTTTCCAAAGGCTTTACCATAGGATAGGCCTGTCTTGGCTCCTGCTTCAGATTTTCCTAAAATCTCTCAAACAAGCAGCATCTGGTCTCAGAGAGCACCATACCTCTCATTAAGTGATCCCAGGCCTGGCACTAGGAGCAGCCAGTCTTGGTTCATAACTGGGCTTTTCCTGGGCACCTCCAAGTCCAGCACAAGGAGCACCATCTGCGGATCCCCTTGTAGCTTATGCTGGTGGCCCTGGATAGAACACAGGCAGTGGCTGACCTTGCCCAGAGCCAGCACACCCAGTGGACAGCTTCAGAACACTGCAAAGCACCACCACCCAACCACCCCCACAAGTGACAAACTCAAGGACTGGACTCAGTGGGTACCAGAGCCCTGCTGAAGTAAGTCTTGCTCTGTGTGGTGGGCCCTGCACAGCTGATCCTCCAAGGTGGTCAGAGGTCAGTGGGCAGTGGGCACAGCCAGTCCTTGCAGCTGATCAGCCCGAGCAAATCCCTCCCATCGATGTGCCAACAGCAATCAAGACTCAATTACAACAGAAGGGTGTACAGTCCACATTAGGGGTGCACCTCGAGGGTCCAACTGGGTGACCAGGGAGGCTGTGCCACTGGACCCTACAGGACATGTACAACAATAGGCCACCCTACGAAGCCTAGGAGACACAGCAACTCTACCTAATACGTAGAAACAATCACAGGGAAGCAGCCAAAATGAGGAGAAAAAGAAACATGTCCCAAATGAAAGAACAGAACAAAACTCCAGGAAAAGATTTAAATAAAATGGAAATGAGCAATCAATCAGATGCAGAGTTCAAAACACTGGTTATAAGGAGTTCAAGGAACTTAGTGAGAACATCAACAACATAAAAAAGGGCCAGTTAGAAATTAAGAATGCACTAACTGAAATAAAGAATAATTTACAGGAAATCAACAGTCGAGTAGGTAAAGCCAAGAAGCAAACCATCGATTTGGAATATAAGGAAGCAGAAAACACCCATCAGAACAGCAAAAAGAAAAAAGAATCCGAAAAAAAGGAGGATAGTGTAAGGAGCCTCTGGGACAACTTTAAGTGTGCAAACATTTGCATCATAGGGGTGGCAGAAGGAGAAGAGGGAGAACAAGAAATTGAAAACCTATTTGAAACATTAATGATAGAAACTTCCCTAACTTGGTGAAGGAAACAGACATACAAGTCCAGGTAGCACAGAGGGTTCCAAACGAGATGAACCCAAAGACGCCCACACCAAGACACATCATCATCAAAATGCCAAAGGTTAAAGACAAAGAGAGAATCTTAAAAGCAGCAAGACAAAAGCAGTTAGTTACCTACAAGGGAGTCCCATAAGACTGTCAGCTGATTTCTCAAAAGAAACTTTGCAGGCCAGAAGGGAGTGGCAAGAAATATTCAGAGTGATGAAAAGCAAGGACCTACAACCAAGATGACTCTACCCTGCAAAGCTGTCACTTAGAATCGATGGACATATCAAGAGTTTCCCAGACAAAAACAAGCTAAAGGAGTTCATCACCACCAAACCAGTATTACGTGAAATGTTGAAGAGTCTTCCTGAAGGAGATAAAAAATATGAACAATAAAATGTCAATTAATACATATCTATCAATAACTGAATCTACAAACAAAATGAGCAAGCAGAACAGAAACAGATTCATAGATGCACAGTGCTTGCCAGATGGGAGGGGGTTGGGGG